TACCCTTACTTCTTATTGCGTACCACCACCTGTGAGTATAGCCCCCACACCGCTAAACACCTGAGGAACGCTTGATTTCCCCCACCCACCGGCCTCTGATTGGCTGATTTACATTAGACTGAGATGGTTAGACAAAACTCAGCCTATTTGGGTTTCACTGGGAGATTCCGACTCCTGAAATTGATAACATTGAACATTGTCTCACTGCAAGACTGAACACTGTCGGTTTTGCTGAGCTGCCAAAACCCACAGTCCATGCGCAGTGGTACAGTGGAGTTTGTGAGGAAAACTTTTTCTAGAAAACAGTCTTTATAGAACGGAGAGAAGCAAAGAGAAACCTGCTGTAGCTGAATGATTTGCATATCAGTTTAGACTAATAAAATAGTGAGGAGAGACAGAAGATTCAAGAGATTCATTAGCTTTGGAGGTTAGCAAATGTGAGTATTTTATAAACGTGGAACCAGATCCAAGAAAGAACCTGTAATAGAAAACTTACTGAACTACCACCATAGTTTGTCAGTGTGATATTTTCCCAGTAATACCAAAGCACACGCATGTCTTTCATCCCCGCTACAGGAATAACAGCTAAACTTTACAGCCATCTTGCCCTTTGTTCTCAGCACCAGGCATGTTGATACCATCCTCTTATTCTTCCTCTTGAGGCTTGTTCATGGAAGAGTTCCCCACATCAAAGCTTGCAGAGGTTTTTAGACTTATACATAGCATGGGGGCTAGTTGAGGGTTGAGGGCGCATTAACACTAAAAGCCCCAAGGCCAGGAGCTCGTAAAAACACGTGTTACCTCGTAGTCTCTCATTCTGATGGTGTTTCAGGTGTGTTTGTACTGTTATTAAGAGCAACATCCAACAAAACAAATCCAGGGTAACTGTAAAAGGGCAGCATGGAGGGAATTTGGCCGTGTGAGGCGGAGGAGCGAGACCTTTGTGTGTCAGGCAGTTAAGGCAGGGATTAACCTTGTGGGCTGCATGTGCTGTCCACTTTAATGGCAGGGATGGGGCAGCTTTACACTGACACACACAGCGGCACACAAAAAATTAACAGCCTGGCAAATGGGCGGCCAAATGCTCACAAACTCGTACACGTGTTTGCACACAAACTCACAGAGACCAGTCTGTTCTCTAGAACCTCGGCCCTCTATCAAGATGACGGTCAGGCACCAGAACAGACGTTTGATTTCAGCAGCGAAACACATCCAAGAAACCTTCAGCCCTTATGAATGAGGAATAGAAAGCGCACAGAGTGGAAAACTGTCCGTGAAAGTCAGCCTTTTCGATGCCTGATAATCAAACACTCCCCTTGGCCCCGCTCTGCTCCAGGAGCCCTCGCTCTTTCTTTCATCCTGTCCAACCACCCACACAGAAAAGAAAACTGCCCCACTGCTTTCACCGCCACAGTGTCACGCTCTCCGAAGGCACTGCATGACACTAATGCAGGCATCCTCACGCACAGGTAGGAAAACACAACAGAGGGAGAGCACTGAATCAGATACAGGATTGCTCGGCAATTAATCTTTTAAATTACCTCAATCACTTAGCTAAACACAGCGCCGCTGAAAGGGAAGGGTAAGGAAGGTTGGGGGCCTCGCAAAAACTGTAGACCACCTCTCTCTCCTCCCTACTCCTCCCCCTTTTTCTTCCCTACCTCCAACCACCTCAGTGACCGCCGCTGTGCTGCCTTGCCCACACTTGTTTGACGAGGCTGTTTGCTCAGATAGCCACAACCCCCACCTCCCTCACCCCCACCGCCTGCTTCAACGCAGCTTCCACACTCACTGCCACCATCCCAGCAGCTTTTATTTAGTGTTCTACCATGCTGGGAGTGATGTGGTCAGCTTTCGGGCTACTCTGCCAGTCTGGAGGCTCTTCCATTGCGGCCTCCAGACACAGGGCCCATATTGACCGAGGCGGCCAGCTAATGGTCATCGCGGGCAGCCTCGGCCTGAATCAAAGGCCTTATTTACTGCCAGAGCGTGGGAGGAGGAGTGGTGGCAGAGGTGGCAAATATGTGCTTCATCCCTTGCCGTTAGTTTTGGAAGGCAGCGCAGATAAAACCCATATTAAAAATCAATTTATGCACTAATATTCAACGGACCCACCACAAAAACTGGGAGCCCTCAGTGAACCCATAGTATGGCTTCTCACCCGCCTCCCCCTCCTACCCCCATTTTCCCTCTGGATAAGTGAATTGCGAGGCTTACCATGAAACACTGCTGCTGTGAAGAAGTGTGCCGGTGGAAAAGTTCTGGATCAGTAAAGGTTCTTTGACAGGGCTGCAGGTCTTACCGGTTCACTTATGAATTTTAGGATTTACTGTTGGGCACACCTCAAGTCAGGCACTTAAACACAGGAATTTCTCTCCTGAATATGAGGAAGGCAACTTATAAAAATGATGTTTAAAACTACAGACTACTACTACTACTACTTTGGGGAACTTCCAGTCCCCAGTTAAAACACAAACCTACCCAGCAAAATGGTTGTTGGATTCATCTTGTTTAACTGTATGAAGATCCATAAGCGTCTCCTCCCACAGAATTGACAGCATGATAGACGGGACTACTAGACAAAGATGGTGCTACCAGCGGCCGTTAAGGTCTCGCTGAAACGCTTAGCTGCTTCTGTAAGTCAGCGTTGGGGTCTATAGTGTGCTTTTCACACATAAATCACTTTCTTATCTGACAAGAGTGACATGGAGACTGAGAGGAACAGACTGGGCTAAAACAACCAAAATACATTTCACTCCAAAGACACCAAATATCAATTTCAACAAGTCATTAAATCTTGTCTTTGTACTTGTTTAAAACTGGCCACTGGTTTAGGGGCATTCCAGTTCTCAAATAACACATGCATGATCACACAGCATACATTTACATACCGGTATGTATGAAAAAACTAAATCTGGTGTCAGACATTTATGGAAAATATGCAGGATGGATTAATGCCAGGATCAGACAACACTGCACAATATTTTAGTTTTTTTAGATCAGATTAGCGTCATAAATTCTTGCAGTGGTTTGTCCTGGTGTCATTTATAACTACATGACCTACTGCCTCCATTGGTACCAAACATGTCATACTAGCATGTCAGGAAGGAGGCTAAATAGCGTGCCAAATTTTGGCAATAGAAAAACTGGCATGGACATTCTCAAAGGGATCCCTCTGACCTCTGACCTCAACATATTTGAATGAAAATGGGTTTATAGGTACCCACGCGTCTCCTGCGGACGGGACCACTTTATGCTAATCCCGTGCAGTTTTTTGTCTGTGGTATGAATGTGTTATTTTAGCCTACTATATTTGAATAATTCTGCACACTGCATACCATAAACAGTGTTGGGATTGCATAAGTTGGGAATGACTGGAAATCTGAGACACATACTTCACACATAAGTCAGTGCCCCCCGAGTCAAAAAAATCTGGACACACCCCTGCAGTGTCACTGTTGAACCTGACGACACACTTTGTGTTCATCGTAGAAGTGGTGAAACTCTGTCTTTTTGAGATTTCCTGAGGTGTCCCAGATGCTGTGTCGGTTAAAAATCTCAGGATGGTCTGTGTGGGCGCCTGTATGCAATCACTTCTGCAGGTGTGCACACACTGTCTAACATAAGTAGACAGAGAAAAACGAATTCCGACATTAGGGAAAGGACATTTAAGCATGGTTAGCATTAGCATCGGTACACCACCGCTACTGTAATTATGAATAAAGTCACATTATGGTATTTCACATTGGGAGGCATTGAGAAGACTGTTTGTATAGCAGTGAGCAGGTATGTAAGGGGTGGGTGGGCAGAGAAATATCAGAGCGGCTTGTGGGAAAACGCTGAAGCTCCCACGACAAAAGCAGCGGCCAAAGTAAATGTCTGCCATCCTGAAGAAAAAGATTTTAGTGTTGATGCAGCGGAGGGAGTGAGGGAGATAGATTTGTGTACTGATGTGGTGGAGT